TTGGAAGAAGTGCAGCCAGAGAGCTTCTTGGAGGCCAAGATGGCCAAGCTTCGTCTCTCATAATTTGGACATATTGTCAGGAAGGACCAGTCACTGGAGAAGGATATCATGTTTGGTAAGGTGGAGGGTCAGAGAAAAAGAGGAAACCCCCAATGAGATGGACTGGCCAAATGGCAGCATTAATGGTCTCAAGTGTGGCAACAGTAGTGAGGTTGGCCCAGGATTGGGCAGTGTTTCGTTCTGCTGTCCATAAGGTCACTATGGGTTGGTACCTACTCGATGGTACCTAACAGCAACAACAACAACAACAAGCATTTCTGATCCTGAATTGTAAGCTGTTAACTTCCTTGATAAACCTCATAATTGTGAGTACTGTCTGAATTCTGTGTGGCCATTATAATGGATTATTGAACCCATCAGGGAAGTAGAGAGTGATGGCTATCAGAATTAGTAAGAGGATTAGAGGGTGGAGGCATGTCTGACATCTGCATCACAGGAATCAGCCTTGGGTGGACAAGTTTGATTCTCCTTCCTCCTAGAGAAGTAAAAGGAGGTCAGATGATACCTCCACATCACGATCACACCAGCTCAGCTAATAAAGCTACTGCAATGGTCACAAGTGAAGGAAGTATTAGACAGGATGGAGACAGAAGAATGCCATAAAAAGACTTAAGCAGTGATTGCCTGAGTGTGATATAGTCAATGGGTGAGGCGATAGGAAAGAGGAAATAATAAATGGCATCAAATTGGTGGTTACTTCTTGACTCACTAAGAAATGTACATCCTATTCAGTAATACCATCTTCATGTAAGAAGGGCAGCAGCACACTATTCATTTTAAAATCAAATCTCTATTTTTAAGAAAAAGTTAGAAAAGAAAGTAAACCAGGCGGTTAAAATTAAGAAGTTGTTGTTGTTAAGCACCATCAAGTCAGTTCCAACTCATGGTGACCCTGTAAAGGGTTTCTGTTGCGGACCGTGTAAGACTAGTCAGAGGTTCGAGGCCCTCTAGGGCCAAGTGTAACAAACGAGGCCATTGGCAGTTAATAGCAAATTGTCTTTCATCTTAATATTCAGTTATATGTATTAATTTAATACACGGAGCCTTTGACAATCCACAGATAAATGTGATATTTTCCTAAAGCGGAGACTAAAGGTTGCAAGGTTAAGCCTTTCTCCAAAGGATTAACTAAAAATATCTTAGCTACTTCTC